TATGGATTGCGATAAGAGTTGTACAAGCCCCCGATAAAATGATATACATTTTTTAAAAATTGCTTATAACCCCCAAACCCAAAAAACCAAACCCACTGTTGTCAAGTCAATTCTGCCCCGTAGTGAGCCCACAGCATAGAGTAGTACTGCCTCCATAGGGCTCCCAAGGCTGTAATCCTTATGGAAGCAGCTGGGGAGTTCAAAGCATGTATAGTACAGAAGAGTCTAGTGTCGAGGTAGCCATTTGTACAAACCTCCCAAATACAAACACAACAGCACAACAAAGGAGGGATAAACCCCCCAAAGGCAGACAAACCGCGTCCTGGGTGTGGGGAAAGGGTGCCTGAGCAGAATGCGGGCGTACTCACATGAGTGCTGGGAGCGGCTCTGGGAACGGCAGGGAACTCCCACTGGTCTGCTCTGCCTTCAGCAGCCTGAGGTTTTCACTGGGCTGGGAAGATGGCAGGAGGCTGCTTTCAGTCTGTGCAGAGAAATTCAGAGTTGGGTTACTAGGTTTCCTCACCCGTGCGTGGCCTCCCAGGAGCAGAACTTTGAAAGAACTCTTGGGATCGTGCCTGGGTTGTGTGGTTAGATTGGTCTGTGGACCCCTCCCCTAAATCCGCGTTGACTGCCTCTCCCTTGTACCAGGGGAATGTAAGCCTCTTTGGAAATACAAGTTCCTGGATTATGAACTCAACGACTGAGTGCTGAGTTGACTGTTCAAACCCACCCAGAGGCGCCTCAGAAGAAAGGCCTGGAGACCTGCTTCCCAAAGGTCATGGCCTTGAAACCCCTATGGAGTGCAGTCCCAAGAGGTCAGCAGGAGTCGGAATGAACTTGGCATTTGCTTTAGAGTTTGTGCCCCTGAGTGTGATATTGCTTGAAAACAGAGATTTTCTCATGTGATGGTATTAAATTCCAACCAGTGTAAAGTGGGTCCTTATCCCAATCACTTCTATATTATAGGGGGTGGGGGGAAACAGGCATAGAAGCACATGGAGGGAGACAGATGCCAGGTAAGGATCATCAACAAGCCAAGACATGCCAAGGAACCAAGGAGCCATGTGATCTACTGACAAGAAAGGAACCCACACAGCTAAGGTCCACCCCAGTTTGGATGTTCAGCCTCCAGAACAGAGAAAATGAAGTTCTGTTCTTTAAAGACACCCATGTGTGGTGTTTGGTTCCAGCAGCACCAGGGAATGAGGACACTGGGTTTCACTGTCGAGCCTTGGAAACCCGGTCCTGGACCCTTAGGCCCCAGAATTATCAGACCCAAAGCAGGCCCCAGGCAGGAACCTGTCCTCTTCCTGACCAGCTGTTGGGGCTCCTTTGAAGCATGAGAGCCGAACGTTAGGAACCAGTACAGGCAGGTTAGAGAACCAGTGGTCCACCAATGTGCTGGATTTGAAAATTGGTAGTAACGTAGTTAAAGTATATAACTTGCGTGACGGGAGGGGAAGGTTTAGATCTTGAAATCTGAAGGTTTTAGGCAACCCCGTCTCTCAAGCTCTTCCGTTCTGTCGTCTACACCGAGCAGCTCCTGGGAAGGCCTTGTGTGTGTTCAAAAATGCCTTCCATCAACTGTCACCCACACCCGTTGCCCTGAGTCAATCCCAAGTCATGGTGGCACTGTAGGTCAGAGTAGCCTGCCCCTGTGGGTTTCCAAGGCGGTAAATCTTTGCAGAAGCAGGCTGCCAGGACATCGCCAACCATTCGGTTAGCAACCAGTGTTCCAACCCCCGTGCTACAAGGGGTAAAGGTAAAGCAACTCCTTTGGGAAATATTTGGTCGATTTCAGCACATAGTGACCCCACAGGACGGAGAACTGTCCCTGGGAGTCTGAGGCTGTGAATCCTCAAGGGAGCAGACAGTCGCATTTTACTTCTGCTCAAAGAACACAGATCATGCAATAGAGAGAGAGCCTTGAGATAGATATAGATATAAATGGTCAAATCCACTGGAAACCAAAGAAATATCCCTTCTTACCTATCATCATTAGAACATTGATCAAAAACTGCATATTGCTCAATATGATAAAGATACAGTGATAAAGCTTTTCATAGTCCTGGTGACAGGACCCCACTTTCATGCACAGGAAGCATGTTTTGCCATCTGCAACTTTCCTTCAAGGTGCTTAGTCAGGACACAATGCTAATTTTTTAACATGTTGCTGTAAAAAAAATAGATGGCATGCTTATGAAAATACCCTAAGAGAGGGCAAGGTTGACAAAAAAAAAAAAAAAGACAACATGGGACTATTTGTGTGAAAATGATGGTGCAATTCAGTCTGACCTTTAGGAAAACCAATCTGACAACATGCATCAAGGCCCTCAAACAAGTTCATGCCCTTTGAACCACTGATTCTACTTCTGTAAATTTGGCCAGAGGAATCATCACAAATGTGGGCACGATGTAAAGGGACTTCAAAAAGTTCCTGGAGATGTAGAATGGAAAGATAATGGAATTTCCCCCATGAACTTTTTGAAGCCCCTTCCTATGTAAATGCTTGTGTGAAGAATTATTTACGACATGAACAAATCACAAACAACCCTGCATTTCTAATCTTTGGGGAGAGCAGTTCAGTATCTTTTAATTCAGTCATGCAATCGAGTTGTCTGATCCTTGCAAAGAGCTTTCAACAGGCAGGCAAAAAGAAACCCAACCCATGGCCACGGGGTCAATGCTGACTCATTGCCACCTGTAGGACCAAATAGAACTACTTCCTAGGGTTTTTGAGGCTGTAAATCTTTACCTGAGCACACAGCCTCCTCTTTCTCCTGAGGATCAGTTGATGGTTTGATCCACCGGCCATTAGCAACCCAGTGCTTAACCCACTAGGCCACCAGGGCCCTTGACAGACAGAAAAGTGCTTCAAATAGAAGATGGGAAAAGCAGCCATCAGAAATGTATGCAGATCTAATGTCTTCACATATGCAAGTCATCATTCATTGTGGCTCGGATCACAGCTGTTGGCAGTGGTGGCTAGGCACCATCTAGTTCTTCTGGTCTCAAGGCAGATGAAACTATGGCTCTTGTAAGCAATTAGCCCTGTACACTAGTTTATCCTCTGAGACTTAAGACTTCCATCTTTCTCTTTTGCTCCCTAATGAGTATAGACCAAGAGTTGTATGCTAGATGGCTGCTTTTAAAGACGACCCACCTCACTTGAATGTAGATCATGAACTTTGCGATGCCCATTGAGTTGTCCCATGAGATTACCTCAGACGCTTCTTAAAACCCTTTTATTGTGAATTAGGTGGGGGGTTCCGTTCCAGATCATCATCTTTGGACTCAGCAACTTATCCACCCTCACAATAACTTGGCCTGCCCCTGCTCTTGTCTCCTCTTCTCCCTCTTGTAGGATGTAATCTCCCCTTCACCCAAGTGAACATCCTTCAACCCTCTAGCCCAGGAGTCCTCAAACTTTTTAAACAGGGGGCCCGTTCACTGTCCCTCGGACCGTTGGAGGGCCGGACTATAGTTTTTTTTAAAAACTATGAACAAATTCCTATGCACACTGCACATATATATATTTTTTCAGGGGCAGGCCAACAAGGCTTGCATTTATTGAGTGACTGATCAATACAACTGCCAAGGCCACTGTGTACAGAGAAGAGAGGGGGAGTTTATTTCTTGGTCTCTTCCTCCTTGGACAGCGTCTTGATGAGCTCCCTTCTTGGCCTGCAGTTGCTCCTCTCGGCGCTTGTGTGCCTCCTTGGTCTTAGACCTGTGGGCCTCACCTGGTCAGCCAGGAGCTTCTTGCGAGCCTGGTCTGCCTTCAGCTTGTGGATGTTCCATGAGAATCCACTTGTTCTTCTTCTTTTTTTTTTAATCGTTTTATTAGGGGCTCATATGACTCTTACCACAATCCATACATACATCAATTGTGTAAAGCACATTTGTACATTCGTTGCCCTCGTCATTCTCAAAACATTTGCTCTCCACCTAAGCCCCTGGCATCAGGTTCTCATTTTTCCCCTCCCTCCCCACTCCCCCCTCCTTCATGAGCCCTTGATAATTTACAAATTATTATTTTGTCATATCTTGCCCTGTCCGACGTCTCCCTTCACCCACTTTTCTGTTGTCCGTCCCCCAGGGAGGAGGTCACATAGAGTTCCTTGTAATCGGTTCCTTCTTTCCACCCCACCCTCCCTCAACCCTCCCAGTATCGCCACTCACACCACTGGTCCTGAAGGGATCATCCGCCCTGGATTCCCTGTGTTTCTAGTTCTTATCTGTACCAGTGTACCTCCTCTGGTCTAGCCATTCTTACAAGGAAGAATTCGGATCATGATGGGGGGGTGGGCGAGAAGCATTTAGGAACTAGAGGAAAGTTGTATTTTTCATCGTTGCTACATCGCACCCTGACTGGTTCATCTCCTCCCCGAGACCCCTCTGCAAGGGGATCTCCAGTGGCCTACGAATGGGCTTTGGGTCTCCACTCCGCACTCCCCCTCCTTCACTATGGTAACATTTTTTTGTTCCGCCTGTTCTTAAACACATTCCCCTTCCCCTTCAGGGACAAGCGGTGATGCCTATGGCGGTCCATCTTCTTGGACTCCCGGTATTTCCTGAGCAGCCGGCGCAGAAGCCTCATCTTCCTCATCCACGTGGCCTTCTCGGGCCTGCGAGCATTGGCAGTACCCTTTCGCTTACCTATGCCCATATGCCTGCCCTTCCGGCAGGCTAGGGCGTGTTTGCGGCATCGCCCCGAGAATGGACGGCCACAGGCTTGCGGATGATACAGCCCTCTTTGATCAGGTTCTGGATGTGCTGACGGGAGTTGGCATTGGCCATTTCATTGGTCTCGTTGGGGTCCAGCCAGACCATCTTCTCGCCACAGCGGAGGGCGCTGGAGGCGACCCTGGTCTGAAGCCTGAGCATCCTCAAGGCTGCGGCCGCAGCGCCGAAAGGCGCACGTATCTTATTTAGAAGTAAAAAAACAAAACGGGCAAAACCACCCGGCGGGGCCGCATGTGCCTCGCGGGCTGTAGTTTGAGGACCCCTGCTCTAGCCTCCTGCTTCCCCCTTCCTTCCCTTGCCCTCCTCCCCCACCCCATGTTTACATCAAATTCTGATTCACATGATATGAAAATCTTGATTTTTCTTTCTTGTATAAAGTGGATGTAGACAAGTCTTTCTTGTATAAAGTGACCTCTTGTGGTTGAGTGACCTCACTCAGCATCATGTCCTTTCAACTGACCCAAGTCATGTGGTGTCTCCTTTTTTTTTTTTTTTTTTTAAGGGTTAGGATTAGGGTTAGTTTTAGGGTTAGGGTTTGTGTTAGACTTAGGGTTAGGGTTTGTGTTAGACTTGGGGTTAGGGTTAGGATTAGGGTTATTCTTAGGGTTAGGGTTAGGTTTAGGTTTAGAATTAGTCTTCGGGCTAGGGTTAGGGATAGGGTTACAGTTAGGGTTTTATTTAGACTTAGAGTTAGGCTTAGTGTTAGACTTAGGTTTAACGTTAGGTTGAGGGTTAATGTTTGTGTAAGGCTTAGGGTTAGCATTAGGCTAGGGTTAGTTTCAGGATTAATGTTAGGCTTAGCTTTAAGGTTGGTTTTAGAGTTACATTTAGGATTAGGGTTGGTGTTAGATTTAGGACTGGGTTAGGGTTGGTATTAGATTAGGGTTCTCTGCCATGACCCCATTCCCACTGGACATTTCTCCCAAGGATGGAGGAGGGACCCACTTACTGTTGTGTCGGTGGAGCTGCTGGACACCTTGGGTACCAGGCAATGAGTGAATTGGATTCGGGGGTCTTTGGTGGTGATGGACAGGCCCTTGTGCAGAATTTTCACCAAACGGACCCAGAACTGGAACACAGCCTCGGGGTGTTTCTCATGGAGCTTCAGGTAGTAGATCTTCTCCGTCACTGTCCTCACCCTCAGGATGCGCTGATGTCGGTCACAGATCTGCAGCTCCACATACTTCAGAGGCAGAACCCTGCACACAAGTGGGAGACCCACGGCACGACTCAGGATTTGACTCAACCTTGTTGGCGCCTACCTAGAACCTAGAGGCGGACTCCGCTCACCCGCCCCCCAACTCTGCTCAGAGGGGGCCCCCACGGGGATTGCTCAGGAACCTCCAGGACTCACTTCTTATGAAGGATTAAAGAGCGGCTTATTAATTAGTCTGCCCACACCCATGACAATGGCTAACAACAGTTGGGCTGTAGTGATCTCATGTCATCCTCCAACAACTGGTTGATGACGGAAGAGGGAGAATTCATTCCGTTTCACTGGTTGGGAAACGGGGGCTCAGAAGAGCTCAGTGATTTGCCCAAGTTGGATCTCAGTAAGAGAAACAAATTAGGGTTTTTGGACTCTGCTTCCTGGGCTCCTTCTGCTATCTCTCAGGACATTTCTATAGACCCCCCCCCCCACTAGGTGATAAGGGCCAAGAGAGGATGGACTCACTGCCTTCTTGTCTCCTCAGTGTCGAATATCTATTATTTTATATTTCAATGCTTCAAGATCCAGGGTGACTCTCACATTCTGTACCTTTTCTTTGGAAATGCTCTAGACCAGCAGTTCTCAACCTTCAGAATGCTGTGACCCTTCCATACAGTTCCTCATGTTGCGGTGACCCCCCCAACCATAAAATTATTTTCATCGCTACTTCATCACTGTCATTTTGCTACTGTTATGAATCGGGCAACCCCTATGAAAGGGTTGTTGGACCCCCAAAGGGGTCACAACCCACAGGTTGAGAACTGCTCCTCTAGGCTATTTGGAGTCTATACTGCGTCAATATAGTCTGGAGTCTATGTACTCTACTGACACAATCAATGTAAACTGAGCCCTCTAAGATCCTTGGAAACTAGACTCTCCCAAAGCAGACTGGTGCACCCTGCTCTAGCTTCAGCCCCAAGCCCAGTGTTCAGTGAATCACTCATTGCCACCGAGTCGATTCCAACTCTACCTGATAGGACAGGGTGGAACTGCCCCTGGGGGCTTCCAAGTCTGTAACTGCTTATGGGAGTAGAAAGCCCTGACTTTCATCCTCAGAGCAGCTGGTGGTTTTGAACTGCTGACCTTTCAAGTCACAGGCCAACAGGCAACCAGGACACCACCAGGTTCCTTCAGCACATGAGGAGGGCCCAAATAAAATGTGTTGAACGAAGGAATTCGCTCTACACAGCGTATTCCCTACAGAGCACTGCCCTTCCTTTTTTATCTAAGACCCAACTGCAAAGCAATGCACAGACCGGCCAAGTGCCCCACCCCCTCAGGGTCCCCGCCCCCACCCCGCCCCCAGCCTCAAGCCTCTCTTTACCTGTTGAGAGTGATGACGGGAGCATCCGCAGGTTTTCTCCAGGGGGAAAAAGGACTCCGGGACCAGGTGACCTTGCCCATTAGGAGGATGTTGGGCAGTGGCAGGGAGGGGACAGAGGAGGTCACCCCAAGGACCATGGTGGTAAACCCTCCGGAGACAATTGTCCATTTCTCAGGCTTAGTGACCTAGAAACCAGCCCCCAGGCAGACGAGTCAAAGAGTGGCAAAGCCAAGGGAGGCAGGACGAAGGAAGGGGGCTGCAGAGGGACTGGATCTCAGTGACACACGTGGAGCCCCTGTGCCTCTTACAAGTGGGTAGAACAGGGGCAGGGCTGTGACCTATTAGCCATCCTTTCTGGTGGTGTCCCCAAGGCACCCCTAAGCTTGTGGTGTCTTCTGCATTCCCCACTGTCCGTAGATGCACCAGTGAGAAAGTCCAGGGGGCATTGAGACTTCCCTCCCCCGGTGCTGGGGGCATTGAGACTTCCCTCCCCCGGTGTTGGGGAGGAAAAGCCAGCATCTTTCTAAGGACCTGGAGGAAAAGTTGTGCAAGAAAGTTCCAGAAGGGGTGGGGATCGAGGTAAAAGCTGATGTAAGATCCAGATGACCCACTTGGAGGGGGATTTGGGCGCTTCCCCAGGTTGAGGGGGGTTGGGGGGCTGCTGGACTCTTTGGATGTCCTCCCCTCCCCGCGATGGCATGATGGGACATTTTTGGCTAAGACTCTCCTCACTGTCCAGGCAATGGAGAAACACTGGGATGAAACTTCTGTAGAACCATAAAGACCCATCAGAGTAAGGGCCACGTGAGGGTGACCCTACGTCCCCAAGACCAGGGAGCCGTCTTCCAGTGCAAGGCCCCGGCCTGGCCTCTAGTGAGGAGGTGAGTTTATCTAGAGGAATGAACTGCATATCCACACACAACGCAGGGAGTCCGTGGGTGTGGGCAACGGTTCAAGCCCTTGGCTGCTGGAGGGGTGAGTGTTCACCCAGAGGTGCCTCAGAAGAAAGGCCTGGCGATTTACTCCTGAGACAGCAGCCAGTGACCACCTTAGGAAGCACAGTCCTCCGCTGGCACACCGGGGTGCCCATGAGTCGGCGTCAACTCAATGGCAATAGGCTGCTTTTCCATGGAGTACAGGGACAGGCTGGGCACTTGGAGGGAGGCAGGCGGCCCGCTGGTAAGACTGGATACATGTAAAAATGACCCCTCTGGGTGACCAGCGGCATCAGGCTTCCCTCAGCCCCCAAGGCTCACCCCCACCCCGCAGAGCATCACTCTTCTGGGGGCTGGGAGAACTAAGCATGGCCAATGTACTCAGTGGGGCTGGACTGTAACTAGCTCAAAGAGAGGGCATTGGGTTCAGAGCAGGGATTCCCTCTAACCATGCCCTTTGGACTACAGGCCCTGCCCGGGCGCTCCTGGCCCCTGTCTGGACAGTGAGCGCTGATTGCCCCTTTTGCAATCTACCAGTCCCATCCCTGCAGGACGCATCCCTGGGTGGTGCCATCACTGAAAGGTGAGCGGTTTGAACCCACGTAGAGCGGTCTTGGGGGAGCCCTGGTGGTGTAGTGGGTTATAGGTTGAGCTGCAACCTCAAAGTCAGCATTCGAAACCACCAGCCACTCAGTGCGACAGAGGTGAGGCTTTCTGCTCCCACAAAGATTTACAGCCTCAGAAACCAGCAGGGCAGTTCTACCTACTCTCTCCTCTAGGCTTGCTATGGGGTGGAGGAGGCAGAAACGACAAGACACCTGGGAAGTAAGGCCTGATGGCTCTGTTTCTGAAAGGTCCCTGCCTTGAACATCCTATGGGACGCAGTGCTGATCGGCACACACTGTCTTGTCAGGAGGGGGAATGACAGAGGGTATGGCTTTGGGGGCCTTACATCTGCTGCAGGTACCCCCAGGATGTTGTGGACAAGACTGAGGTGGCCATGCGACCCAGACCCTCTGACTTTCTCTAGCCTGGGTAGGTGCCCTCTGGTCAGTTCTGACTCATAGTGACCCATCCTGCGCCACTGTCACAAGTGCTCTTCTGTGGCAGCCACTGTGCCTGTCCATCTCGTCCAGGGCCTTCCTCTTTCTCACGGCCCCTCCGCTTTAACAGCCACTTAGTGGCTCCTTTCCTCCCCAGGGCTTATAAAGGGCACAGCCTCTCCTGCCTCTGCATGGGAACAGCTGACACAAGGGTACCTGGATGAAGTGGCTTTCGAACACTGCCGAGTCGGAGAACAGGTTGAATTCTGGAGAATGAATCAGTTGACACAGAAGGCCATTTTCCACCCCAAGTTTCACTCCAGGGCCAGGATCCCGAGTCTCAGGAGGGAGACCCCGAATCTTACTCATTGGTTCTTGGGAAGAATAGGCTGGCAGTGCATTTCTGGGGCTCCACGCAGGCCCAGCCCAACTCCAAGGTGTTGGTGTGACTGAGGCTCCCAGCCTCCCCACTCAGTCCATCTCCCATCCTGAGTATGGAGGGTCTGTGGGCTCACAATGGCTGCAGTGACATCAAGGACAAGCCGCATGCACTTGGCCCCATCTTTTAAACAGAGCCAAGGGTTGTGGGGAGACATCAGGGAGCTGGCCAGATGGTAAGAAGGTTCTCAGAGGAGGGCTTTCCAGCAACTCACAGCTTCTCAGCTTCTCCCTCAGGGGGGTGCCTCCCAGAAATGTTCTCTCTCAAAGCAGATATCCCCACCTAAGGCCAAGCCCTGACCAGGGCAGAGGAGTTGGGGACCAAAGAAAGCTGTTTATCCAAACTTTCCCTACCTTGTCTCATGAGCTAAGGAGCCCTGGGGTGGGGGAGTGTTATTTATTGAGCTGCTAACTCCTAGGCCAAAGGTTCAAGCCCACCAACTGCTTTGATGGAGAAAGATGAGGCTTTCTGCTTCTGTAAAGATTTAAAGTCTCAGAAACCCAGAGGGACAGTTCTCCTACAAGGTCACTTTGAGTCGGGTTGTGAGGTTTTCTCTTGGAATACCTTGAGCCTGTTTTTAATTTCAGATCGTTAACAGTGGCCCTGGGCATGCTGGACCCAGCTCAAAATAGATTTCAAGAGCCAATTTTGAAGGTTTTAAGAGGTTTACAAGCTAGTTGTGAAATACCACAAAAAAGAAACATGTCAACTCTTAGCAACCCTATAGGACAGAGTAGAACTGCCCTTGTGTGTTTCCAAGTTTAATGGAGACTGTAACTGTTTGTGGGAGTAGAAAGCCTTGTCGTTCTCTCAAAGACAAGCTGGTGGTATTGAACTGCTGCCCTTGTGGATTTTAGCCCAATCTGTAACCGCTAAGTCACCAGTTGACTCCTACTTATAAAACACAGGCATAATTAAAATTAAATAATATTATAATTAAATGAGCTTATAAAAGATAATGACAATAAATATCTAAAAGCTATCACATATATATATTTATTTATGGTCTGAAGTTATTTGCATCTAAGACATCTGCCTAGCTA